CTATATAAGTGGTCTTTGGGCAAGTTATTCAACTTTCGAAAAACTCTACTAGAGTCTATAATTAATAATAATGAATGAAATAAACACAAAATAATACACCCGTGTAGGCTGATTCTCCCGCATAATCAGATTCTTGGAAATGATTCCGATATAACCTGCTATGCTGTGTCGGTACAAAATTTTTGCGTCTTATAGCCTTTCCTCGCTTTGTTTTTAATGTTGGATCTTTGGGAAATAAATGTACACCGGGGTTAGCGCATCATGGTGCAGCACAAAGAGGCATATTTCGAGAAAACTAAAATTAACAATATGCTAGGCTAGGTTATTAAATGTATGGATTTGACAGTTCTCAGTGGCCATCAGTGTTGGGAAATAGTTGATGCGAAATTATGGTGTTGCCAAGCTAGAAAATATTGTATTTTGGGTAGAATTATGGTATATTTTTGCTAAAGATTTTTTATTTCTTGAAGCTGTCTAAATCCAAATTTAATAGGTTTTTGCTATTTATTTATATTTGCATAAATTAAAAACATGTTATTTTACAAAAATAATAAAACTTAGGGCACGGAATCAAACAATATGAACTAAACAGGAATGGAAAATTCAAAGTCGTCTTCTTCTTCGAGTTCGAAGTCTCGACGTGTAGATGTAGACGGACTTGACTGCAGAGAAGTTGTTCCATACAGGATATTGGAGACAATTTTATTTGCCATTTGTTTCGTGGGTTCAAATGATATTCATTCCTTTTCAAGACGTTTTGCGCTGTCAGAAGCGATAACCACATTATTAATAGTGTTAGTCAAAATTCTGTTCCGGCTTTTCGTTTTAATCAGATTTGTCTTGCTAAAGATGCACTCGCAATCTGCATTGGCTTGAGGGATGGATAAAGCGTCAAGAGCGAACTGTTCGAGAACAGTAAATTCTTTCTCGCCGCAAAGGTTTTCAAAACAAACATTTCTTTTTCTTGAGTTATGTCGTCAGGTAGACATCTGAGGGGGAGATTTCGCCACTGGTCATCTAAGGATTGCAGTAAACTGCCATCGCCTGTTGCAGTATTATGAGTAATTATTCTGGGCAATATTGTAGCCGATCGGCACGATGGAAGGTTTATTCTCTCTGTGGTCGCTCGAAAGAGCTAACTTAGGATTTAAGAGCTTATTTCCGACATCACTTTAGTGGAAAAGTTCCAGCTTTTTTATGCTACCATGAGGAAGTTCCTACACCGATTGCGGAAATCTGTTATTCCGGTAGGATTTCTTTAGACGTCTTCATTACTAAGATGAGTTAGTACACCCACTCCCTAGATATAATTGTTGTATAAGGAGAAATTATGATTGATTCGTGGGATCTATATTAGCCAGGGGTGTTTTTGAGACATAATCATTTTTCATATAACAAAGTAATATTTCTTTGTAGACCTACTATTTCATTCAGTTCAGTTACAACCACTTTAGATGCATGAAAGTGTGTTAAAATTTGTGAATTTTGCAGCGGTCTTCGAGCATGACTATCAACCTCCTACGCAGGGTTTGGTCGCTTAATAGCAGCTGGTGGTCCTCCTGGAGCCGTCACAGTAGTTGCATCGCTGTGATATTGGATTGTCTTCTGGCGGTCATTTGGAGAAATCGAACCTGTCTCTGCGTAGTAACACGATATCTACCCGTGTGTTGTTCAGTCACATCCCCAGTACTACTATAACGTGACCACAACCTTGATATCACGTTTTGGCTGTAGGGCCTCAGCAACGATGCGTTGAATAAAACCATTTTCTAACATTTCCACGGCTCGTAACATTTAATCTCGACTCAAATGTCGACGTGAAATGACTCTTGAAGCTCACATTGCACATTAAATTAAAAAAGCAAAACAGCAAAACACCCCTTTTCATTAATTAATATCAGTAGAACAATTTTAATTTTCCTTGACGTAACGAATTACTAACAATTGTGCCGCCGTATTTGTTTTTTTCTTTAGTTTTTTTGAGGTTTGAATCTTTATATAAACTTTTTATGGAAGCTAAAAAGATTTTAAACTATAAAGTAAACAATTTATGTATAAGGTGCCCCTAGATTCTGTTGATGTGGTTACTTATATTAGCTAATAATATAAATACCTCATTTTTTTGGCCATTAATTTTATTCGTAAGATCTACGGTCATGCCGTGTTGCTTCAGATTTTGCGCGAATTATGTAAGTTATATTTTTAGTAACGTACCTAAATACGTTAATACGGTAACGAAAATTTTTGGAAGGCACAATTCATCGATATCTTCGAATTTATGCCATGGTATTAGATTTTTACCTTAACCAGGAGTATTTATTATACAAAATTTTCTGTTTGATTAGTTGCTTCAGTATTTCTTTTCTTTAGTAATACTTCGTCATTATTTATTTGATTGAAATCAAATTCAGATTTTATATAATCATTATTTTTATTATTACTAGTATGAGAAGCTGTTTTAGCAATTGAAATATTTATGTTTTGATTAGAATTTATAACTGTATTGACATCAATAATGATATTAACACACTTCCTTTCAAGCCTAGTTTTGAAGTGAAATATGTTCCTGGTGGTGTCGCCACCTAACGCTGGAAAATATTACTTTTTTGATTGTTTAGTTAATTTTGGACAAATAGCAAATTTCAATAAGTATAATGCTTTTCCACTAATGGACTGCGTACAAAAAAGAATATTACTTTGGAACGAACCAAACTATGAGCCAACAGCCGAAGAGGTCTCTTCTCTTCTCTTCTCTTGAAAACTATTTTTGGAGGTGACTCGACAGCCGTTCGTGTTAAATATCAAGGTGATTGCATCATTCCACGAACACCAGTAATAATACTGAGTAATAACGATATCTTCCCACATACACCTGCTTTTGATACAATAATGTGAAGATACGAATGGAAACCAGCCTAGTTTTTGAAATATATTAAGAAAAAGCCACATCCATTGGCAATGTTCTACCTATTTTTAAAGTATAAATTAATGTCTCTTAATAATATTGTATTAGAGGATTGGGAAAGGGATTTATTAAAATAAAGTTTTGTGTTTAAAATTGTTTTATATTATTTTTTTCTACATAATTTTTAGATATGGGTTTTACATTCCCAATTACATTACTTAAAATATTTGTAGGTTGATAAACACTACTTATTCTTGTATTCTTAACGATAAGCGCACGTTCCAATTCTTGCTTTAAAACAAAAACTTGTTGTTGTAAGTCATTAACGTGACGCGATAACACTAATAGCTTATCACTAGTACTACTTTGTTGAAATTTTCCATTAACTTTACCAACAATAATAAAAGGATCGGGCACGTGCATAACTAATTGCTTTAAATACATAATCAAATACTAAAAATTATTCTCTACACCTATATTAGGATAATTATCATCATATAATACATAATCAAAAGTATACCTTAAATCGTTAAATATTTCAGATAAAAACTTATACATCGACTCTTTTAAAGTCCATTGATCAAAATCTCCATAACATGAGGTAGGTACGTTGCGTAATTTTCGTTCACTATAAAAACAATCAAAATCTTTTTTTTTCCCTTAGGACGTCTATCTAAAATTAAAGGATTTAACATATAAGAATTACCAGTATAATGCTTATGACTATTCCATTTATTATGATTAATGCACGATGTCATATTGCTCATGGTCTGAGTCTGGGGGACTGTACATTGATTCATCAGAAAAGGGTTGTTTTCCAGTACTTCCTTCGCGATTCCCACGTCCTGACCCTGAAGGAAAGCCTTCAGTATGAATATCGATTTTCGTTAGTTTCTCTCTAATTTTATCAGAATCTGTTCCACCGGGTTTTGGTCGTTTTGAAAGACCTCCTCTAGGGATTGTTCGCTTTCTTTTTGATTCGAGACGGGGATTAGTAGTTGAAGCAATACCAAAGTTTTGATAACCATACCCGGTAAATCCCCTTTCTTGGTCAATAAAGAATTTAACACCTTCAGGCCATTCAACTCCGTTCCCGCCATCGGCACACATTGAATCCATATCAAATTCAATTTTACATTCAGCATTGGTGACAGTATAAACAGCACTGTTCAAAAAATTACTAACTTCAGTACCAGGATTTAAAGCCGGTGTAGCAAGAATGTCTAAGTGCACTTGCGGTTGGTTTTTGAATGTGCCTGTCTGGCCTTTATGCGGATTTATGTACGTGTAACCTTCAACGCTCTGATAATAATTGTTTTGTATTTGTGTAGAGTACATAAAAGTGGTCGTATCTAGAATGTTTCCGGCTTTTATTTGTCCAGGCACGTCTGACTGTAAATTTAAACGTGTTGGAATGGTATTTTTATATAAAATTCTATTTACAACAACATCGTCAGCAAACCCATCTTCTTTTAAATATTGCATCCAAATATTATCTTTAGTTTTCTTCAAAAAACCATTCTTTGGAGAATAATGATAATCAATTATTGGACGATCTAAACATTTATTTACCAATGCTGTATGTAAAGAAAGAAAGAAAGAAAGAAAGAAAATAAACTTTATTGACACAGCAGTGCATGCACATATACAAATGGTTAACATTAAATTATATATGTAAAACTGTATCTATGCGATAATTTTGAAAATCTTGTAAATTCATAGCATTGCTACTATTAGTGTTATACAATAAACTAGCATACCAATTCAAGTGTCTAGGAACTTCCATAGCACCTGTTGGCAAATACAAAGCTTTATAATATTCATCCAAAGTTTTTTCATTAAGAGACTCTACAATCATAGGTTCTATAGCTTTTAATTTATAACTACGATTTTCAATAAAAAGTTTATTATTCAATCCAATTACATATTTAGCAATGGGAATATATTCGGTAGTTGCTGTGCCTGACAAAGTTGTGCCATGATCAAATGCTGTTCTAGTACCCAGAAATGATATTTGAGCACTGACATGTATAATTCTTGAATTATTTGGCAAAGATAAAAATTCAGCTTTAGTAATATAAAACGGAACCCAATCGACAGGATAATACGCATACGGAGTACAACTCCTAGCAGTATCTTTTTTGGCTGGAAAATTTGTATGAGCAATTCCGTATGTATATTTATACCAACGTTTTCTAAATGTAATATTTAACCTTTTGTTTCGAACCAAAGGCGGGAGCGTCGTGATGCCGGTAGCAGCGGTAATTCCTCCATGACCTCGTCCGCCAGCTCCACAGTTATTTGCTGCTTCGGCTTCCATATCTTCAGCTCCACCGGCAGCCATATTCCCCGCAGTAGACAAATCCGGTACTTTATTCTGTATGTCAGCCATATCAGAAACAATATCAAACAAATCCCCAAAAAGTTTTGCTAATATCTAGTAGTGCATGGACTTCCATACGCAGTCTGTTATCTTTTAATACATGGTGGAGCACACTCAGTCCCAGGCTGAGAGTATCTTGGGTTGCCCTTGTAGCGAACTGAGGGAACAAAACAATTGGGTAACCCCCAACTGTCCTGTTCATAAGTAGCAACACCATCATCCATTCATCTGACTTTTCTACGTACACCCTGTAAAAGCCAGAGAAATTCATTGATTTGTTTGTTTCATAATGTTAAAAAAGTTTATTAAAAAAGTAGTACAAATTAATGTTTTTGTCCAAAGTTATGGATCCTTACGACAACCCAGTACCTTGAACTTATCATTCCTGGGACGATCCTGCTTGGAATACCCTCCACAAAGAGACACTCGCAGCTATGGATTCGTTCATCGAAGAACCAAACAGAGAAGAAACTAATTTACTTATCCATTCACCTCAATATCCAATCACGGATTCTGAATTATTGGGGATATTGTCGAAAAATGTAATGGAAGAATTGGAGACCGATAACTCTGATCCCGAATTTTTCGAAATTAATGAAAATGCACAAGAAGACTATGTTACGCCTGATGAAGCACGGATTCCCGGAAACCCGACAACTAACATAACCTAATTCCCATTCCTAATGACCCCCGGACTAAAAAAAGATGTTGGTGATGGGCCTATTAATTTTTCGACGCATTGTGCTCTTCCAATCTGCTGGAATTACTTAAAGACTGCTCCAATGAATATAGAGAAATAGAAAAAAACTTCTACCAAGGCCACAAAAAGCAGCAAAAAATCTTGGAAGCCTGTAACCTGTAAAGAAATGAAATTGTCTTTCGGTTTCTAATCTCATATGGTAAAGATAAATCGCTTGAATGACTATTGGAAAAACGATGCGTATTTTGATCAACCTATATTTGGAAGGGCAATGTCATGGAATCGATTTATTTTAATTTTGAGAATGTTATGTGTGTATGTAGGACAAGTGACGTGTAGTTATAATAAGGTTAAAAATATAATCGATTACTTTAATGAGAAAATATTATCTCTATATAATCCAACAAAAAAATTACCATTGACGAATCAATGATGTTATGGCGGGGACGATTATCATTTACGCCCGAAATTAATATTCGATCTTAATCTATTTTTAGCAATCCAAGATTGATAATTCAATCCATTTTATGGTTAGACAGTGCCAATAACCAATCCAGAGATTAAAATTACTATCAGTAGAATCAAGCTATCCTTGGGAGGTCGGATTACAGAAAAAGATACACCTCTGTGGGTAAATGACAGTTTGTGTGTATCAATAACCTATCTGTCAAATTTGACGTTTGGTTCGATCGGTGCAAACAATCCAAATTCGCAATCCGAGAAAAGCCTAGGATTAATCCTTCTAGTTCAAAACTCTTACGTGTTTTCTTTTATTTTATTTGCGCCAAAATGGATTTAATGTTATTATCTAGTGACAGTGACAGTGATTTGGAAATGCTAGCTCAATTATCCGACTGTAGTGATGAAGATGAAACCCAACGCCGCTCTCCAAAGAGAATCAGAAGAGTGAATTATACGCAAAGTCTCGATGACGGTGATTTTACCTTTAGGTTTCGATTGAACAAACATGCGTTCAATTCTTTATTGTTAGAAATAACCCCGTTATTACGCGTAACTTCCACGAGGTAAAGCAAAGCTGGTCTATTACAAATTAGATAATTATTTTACAATCTCCATATATTTCATTTTATCTAATCGTTTGCAGAAATTATGGCGTATCACCATTGCATCAACTTTTGTTGACTCTACGGTTTTATGCACTAGGCACAATGTTGATATCCGTAGCAGATTTTGTTGGAGTTTCAAAATCTACAGCAGGCAGAATAGTGCGAGACACATCATTAGCAATTGCCCAATTATATGATAAATATATTTATGTTCACCAAAGGAGTGCAGACAAATTCTATAGAATTGCTGGATTTCCTCGTGTGCTTGGGGCAATTGATGGCACACATATCCGCATACAGTCTCCTTGTAACTATACTTTTTTTTTTAAATTTTGCCAAATATAAATAAATTATGAAGTTGCTAATAATAATGTTTATATATTTTAGGCCATTTAACAGGTGAAGAATACAGAAATCGCAAGGGTTACTTTTCTATAAATGTTCAAGGGGTTTGTGATGCAGATTTGAAATTTATAAATGTTGTGGCTCGTTGGCCTGGTTCTACGCATGATGCAACAATATTTAATAACTCTGTTCTGAGAGGTGGGTGCAAATTATATGTATTCAAATTGCAATATATTACAATATTTATTATCAGTGCCTAATATTCTTTATTTTTATCACAGCTGAATGTGATGCAGGCCAATTTGGAAATCGCTGGTTACTTGGAGATAGTGCTTATCCTAACAGGCCATATTTATTAACACCTATTCTAAATCCAGTTTCTGAAGCTGAACATAGGTACAATGAAGCACACATTAAAACTAGAAATACCATTGAACGGTATGTTAAATAAAACTGTATTATTAGATAAAATGTCTTATGGAAATACTGGTGTTTAATAAAGACTTGTTTGTGTTACAGAGCATTTGGAGTATGGAAACGTAGGTTCCCTGTTGTAGCACTTACACTACGTTTGTCAATACCAAATATGCAGGCAGTAATAATAGCAACAACAGTCCTACATAATATTTGCAGAAATCACAATCTCACAGAAATCCCCTCTGAAGTAGAACTACCGTCTATTGACAACAGTACAATGCCTCATAATGTTATTGACGATATTCCTACAATGCACCGGACTGATATAATAAATAACTATTTTAGGACATTGTAGAAAAGATTACACTCATTGGAGAATGTCTTAACTAGCGTTACAGGTTGAAAATTGTATGTAGAATAAGTTGTTAATATTTTATTAAATAGTTTTAAATTTTAAACTGTTCTGAGATTTGGGTGCAAATAATATGTATTCAAATTGCAATATATATTATCAAAGCCTCAGCTGAATGTGATGCAGGCATACACTGATGTTAAAGGTTGAAGATTGTAAGAATAAGTTAGAAAATAAATTGTTATAGTTTGTAAATTTAATGGTAAAAACAAAATAAATATTCAATAAAAATATTCTTATCTTAAATTACTATATTACTGAGACATTCATAAAAAGGAAATTAAACCTTAACTATGTATCTACCTTTTATACATTTAATAAATACATATTTCATTAGTTTAAATGATTTTCAAATACAAATTATATATAACTGATAACATTACAAATCATGAAAGACATACTAAGCTTAAATTAATTAACAACTACTTACACACAATTATTGTCTATTATATATCAAAATAATAATTTTTTAAAACTTAGTATTAGACCAATAACTATTTCTTAAAATTTTCTATTTCTAATAAAAGTTTTTCATTTTCTAATTTAAGTTTCTTATTTTCTAATAGTATATTATCTAATTTTGACTCCAGGCATAGTTTTTTAAACTTATAATATTCTGCAATGGCAAGATCTCTAGCAGATTTGGACCCATCACCCTGCAATTTCCTTTTACCTGTAAAATACAAATTAATTTAAATAAGTTAACTTAAAGTTATAGCATTTCTTTCAAATAAAAAGGTGTATATTTCTTGTATATTACTATTTTGCCTCAATTTACACAAGTTTTTAAACTAAAGTGGAATACAAGTTAATCACCATACCACCAACTCAGTGAACTGAACACCATGTGAAATAGTGATCTTATAAATTTAAATTCTATCAACACTAAAATAACCATTACCTGTTCTAGGGACATTAAATGTGACTCTCCGTGGTGTATTTGTAACTTTAATTTGTTCAGCAATAGCACAGGTGTTAACCTGAGCCAATGCTGAATGTGGAGGAGTAGGAGTCACAATCATTTCCATTTGCGGATCTGGCACTGATGTGTCGTGAAGTTCTAGGATTTCTAAATTGACCCTAGCATCACCACCTATTTCCACTACACTACCACCATTTGGCTCAATACCACTACCATCACAAAGCACTACATAGCGCTCAGGTTCCTTATCTCCCCCATAAGGAACAACTAATCCATTGGCTGTACTCCCCAATAGGCTGGTAACACGATCCAGTATTTCATCTGGGGGTATGTACTCACCAACACCTCTACCAGTCTGCAAATTAATAATGATAAAATGAATAAAGAATTCAAATAAAAACGGATAATCATTTAATTGTACTTAGATTAAAAATAAATAAACAGTGATTCACTTTTATGCTATTCATTCTTATTTTGGTGCAACGTTTACGTGCATTTTTCTTTAAATTTTCCCATTTCAGCCGAAGCTGTTGTGGTGTCCGACGACAATTAGTTGCCGTAGCATTAAACTGCTCGGCTATTCGTATCCACTCCTCATCTTTCATTTTATTGCTGGTGGCGTTTGTGGCTTTTGAAGTTATAATTTTACTCATTTCTATAAATTCTACTAAGGTTTTGGTTTCATCCTTTGAAAGTGGCTTGCTTTTTATCTAAAATAAAAAAGTGATATATGTAGCTGTACGCGGGAAAAGTTACATATTCCCACCAAACATCAAATTATACAATATAACTTACTACTTGTGTCTCCATTGTTGTTATGCACAATATACTTGCTGTAAATATTCCTGTTATTAAGTTGTAATTCGAAAAAAGGTTTGTATACGCTCAAAAATTAATAACAAACACAAACGATCGAAGCTAAGCAGTGAAACTTTACAATGAATGATCGTTTTTTTTTTGACGGACGCACTGACGCTACGGAGACGCTACTTACCGGCGACGTTCCGTTATGTAATTTTTTTCTAACTATAAATTTACATTAATTTAATAAAAACATAATAATTTAAAAATTTTAGGGAGAAAAGAAGTAGCTAACGTAATAACGTATGATTAGTGTCAATAGTAATAGATTTAAAACAACATTTTATGTTATTATATTAATACATCTATTTGAATGAAGCAACAGTCGTTATGCATACAACGAAACAGTCGAGAGGAATCAGATAGATGTTTGGATCGACTGCGATCGCCACAAAAAAAAGATTGGGTTTGTTAACATGTGTTATTGGGATGTGGATTTAGATCGATCTTTGGATAGGGTACAATCTCGGATTGTCTTTAATCTTAAAAAAGAGATACGTTATTAATTTCGGGCGAGACAATATATGAAGGAAAAGCGCCATAATTACGGCCTAAAATTCTACGCACTGGCTGACTAGCTCGGGGTTATGAAGAAACTACATTTATACGGCGGTGCATCTGATGCTCTCGTAGGCGGCAAAAATCACGTGCAAAAAGTAGTTGACCACTAGCTTCATGATTTTATTAATATAGGACATCATTTGTTCGTAGAAAATTTTTATACAAGCGTCAATTTAGTTGAAAAATTATTTGTTTGTTGTAAAATCGTATATATTGCCTACCCATAAATTAATTACTAATTCTATAAAGTCTAAAAACTGGTATTACAAGCATATGTTTGTTCCTAGTGTTTAAAAATGAACATATTTTTTTCTTATGAAAGCTATTTATGTTTTTATGTACATACATTACATTTTCATAAATATATTTCGATGCTAAGTAGATATGTTTATTTCCTTAAAATTTGTCTCTAAGGGACTCTTTACAATTTAAGTTATAAATAATCCGTCTTTTGCAAACAAATATGACTTTACTGTCAGTCGCATTGTCCCATAGTAAGATTCCATAAGACATTACGCTATGAAAGTAACTACATGCTTATCTTATTAATTACGTTTGTACGTGGTAGAACCATGCTGCAGCTATACTAATAGTATAGTTGGGTTATAGTTGGGTCGGCTCGACTGGGGAAGGACCACGCTCTCACAGAATACCAGCGTCAAATAGCAGCTCAACACTGCTGTGTTTCGTATGGTGAGTGTAGAGAACCGGAGACCCTTTTTACTCGAAACGAGGCATTCCATCTTAGGTAACGCTTACGCATAACTATTTGGCTGCAGAATATCTGGCACTGTGGTGGTACCCACCTATTTGTATTTGGCATAAAAGGCCTACCACCTGGTAAAACGTTCTTAACATTGGTTAAATGAAAATAAACAAGTTACCTTCTATGCATGGTCGCTTTGTAGGTCTCTCTTCCTCCATCTGAGTTAAATCGTCGTCGTAAGGCTCCGTTTCTGGCACAAACCGCGCTAAAAAAATATCAGGCACTTCTTAACAAATTTCGAATGTAATAAAAATGTTGTTTCACTTATAGACATTATTAATATTTGCATATTAATAAGTTATCATTTAATTTTAATTCAGCAGATTTTAAACATTTAAAAAAAACGTTTTTTTTTAAATTGTTATCAATGAAATTCGTCGTATTCACAATACAAATAATACATATTAATCTGATACCATATACTTAAAACTGAAAGCCCGTATTAAATTATTCCAGAGTAAAATTGTCTATTCATAAGTATGAGAAATTCAAAATATAACCTTAACAATAAACACAAAAAAAGATTGACAAACATAGCTTAAATTACGAAACAAACTTACCTTTTATTTTATCCAAAGAGTTTCTTGCCATTTTTACAAGCTGAATAGTCCTTAATTGCGTTAAATACGTTAATTACGCTATGACGGCCACAAAAATAACAAAACATGGAATTTACCCTTACGTAGTGCTAGTGAACTCGTGTGGCGAGTCGATTCAATTTATATTGCAGTACCGGCGACTCGCCTGGCGAGTTAACCGTAAAATGTAGGCGGCATTTGAGAAGACATCATGTAAATCGTAGTAGTGATGAATGTGTTGATTTGGCGACCATTTTGTTTATAGTATTGTTACGAGCTTGGGGTCCGACACGTTTGAAAACTGCCGAGTTAATTACCAACATTGACACTTTTATTACAGAACACTAATTACAACATAAAACCACACTAATAACAAAACACAATTGTACTACTGATCACTTTAGTTCGCAGTTGTATCGCTTTGAAGTATTCGCTTGTATCGCCAACTCAACACTGACTGGGTCGCGGTCTATACCGGCTTTATATAGGGCCTCAGATAATTTGCAGAACCTTCTGCTGTAGAAACATCTAGATTGTTCGAGTACATACCGGTCACGACTGACTAGGTGTCGAAAGTTCTAGCAAGTTATTCCATGGAAAATTCTAGAAGTATCTTGACTCTCCTAGTTCTGCTACTCGATACTAGAGGGCGCTAGTGGTAACTAGTGTTGCCATGAACCAGACATTTATGGTGGCGAACAACACTGCCCCCTCTTAAGACACGCTCGTCCCGAGCATTATCGGGCCCATAGTAACGCGCCAGTCGATCCACATGGATGATCTTAGGAGTACCTCTTGCACCTTTTTTTATCCGGTAGGTTACGTCATTAATCCTTGTCACAATCCGGTACGGCCCGTCCCATTTAGCTTGAACCTTAAGAGATTTCCCTTTGCTGCGAACTGGATTGTGCAACCATAGTAGTGAATCTGTTAATTTTGTTCTGAAATTAACAAGAAGATAGAAACTGCCTAGTAACGCCATCTATCGCCAATAAAGGTCTACCATTCTATCATTCACCCTATAGCTATGTAAAATGTACCTACCTATGTAAAGCTATATAGAAATAAAACTTAGTCTGTTCGATGCTATTCAACTCGTTTTATTAGGTTATGGGCCGAGACTCATATTTTCGGAAAAATAAGTGCTCGTTTTTATTCTAAAAGTCGCGGAATAACAGTGAACAATAGTAAATAGTGAAATGTTGTTGATTGGACTATAATTTGTTCAGATTAGAACTTTTGATCATATTTGTGTTACGTTTTGAACACGCTTGAACAATGGCCGGCAGTTACATTGCAAACGTGCCAAAACTCAAGGGACGTGAAAATTATGATGAATGGGCGTTCGCCGCAGAAAATTTCCTTACTCTGGAAGGATTGGATATAAACGTGAAGCCAGAAACCGCAGTAGCAGCCGCTGTCGACACCGACGTCGAAGCCGCCGCCACTACAGATGGTTCGAAAAAGGCTAAAGGAAAATTGATTATGACAATTAATTCATCGCTTTATGTCCATATTAAGAATGAAACTACTGTCCAGGGTGTGGGGCAGCGGCTGAAACTACTCTTCGATGATTCTGAATACAAAAGGAAAATCAGTTTACTACGGAATTTGATTTCCATACCCCTAGAAGATTGCGAATCCATGACTGTCTACGTAATTCAAATAGCTGATACGGCGAATAAACTACGAGGATCCGGATTTGAGATTACTGACGAGTGGGTCGGGTGTTTACTTTTGACGGGATTAACTGAAAAGTTTTCGCCGATTATAATGGCCATCTAACATTCTGGAATGGCGGTCAGTACAGATTTTATCAAGTAGAAATTGTTAGATATGAGCGTAGAGGTTC